TTAATGTATCAAGTGTCTATATGCAAAGAAAAGCCAAAAACGATGGTTTTTATCATTAAATGAAGATATAGCCTAAAGGTGCTTTGTGAGCTTTACGGAATAACCAGGTTTCATTCGCCCGGGTCCCTGGGCAGTTGCCTACCTACACACTATTCAAAACAAACGTTCTATTTCTTGTGTACTAGCTGAAAACATCATATTAATATTTCCATGCAATAACTTACATCAACATCACAAACATGTCCAGCAAAAACCCTTAAAGGCTGATGAGAGTCAGTCGCCCACAACCTTGCTGTTCTGTCATGACCGCAGGATGCAAAATAATAACCATGGGGGCTGTTCAGAGAAAGACAGATATTAATCTTTATTTTTATCGTCTTTCTTTAGTCTTTAATGAGAGAAAAAAACTAATATTTTTTCAAACAAGTATGCATACATTTAGATATTTTTTTCAGTTCACTGATACCGTTAATGTAAGTATATATGATAACTTCAATTTGTAATTTAAATTATAATTATTTCAAATTAGGTTTTTTTAACTATATAGTGAAAAACATTCAATATACTTGTTTTTTTTTAAACAACACTTTCATTACCATTGGACATTTTGAAATTTGCTAATCCCATCATCAGTACAATAACTTTAAAACAATAAATTGCACATGTTGAATGGTAAGAGAAAAGCAGTCAGTGTTAAGGAGAATGAAAAGGAAAGAATCATTAAAGATTGTTTTCATTTGCTGAGGTGTTAGTTTAGTCTAACATGACAATTCTATTACTTTTTTTGGGGGGTTGAATGATAACAATATTAGGGTGTTTATAGACATTTTAGGACATTTAATTTGGTGTGAAATAGAGTAAAGGAAGTTTTAAATGTATTATAGCTATAAAAAGATGAAAGAGGCAAAGTTTCTAAATTTAGTTTTAAAGTGTGTCCATCAGGAAAAAAACAAAACAAAAAATGACATATCCTAAGAAATCCAAGTAAAAACGTTTCTTCCGAGATATCGATCTTGAACACCTCTACCCATGCAACTCAAAACCTGGGATTCTCTACAGCCTTCTTAAGGTTTATAAACTTAACACCTCATCTATAACATATTCTCTCATTGGTTCAAACTAGTCAATTGTATTGTCCCAGCATTCACACCTCTCATATCTAATTAATTCAATATTAATAATTTTCTTGAATTTGCCTAGGAAATATATTCCATACTTTCATTTTTAAACTATTGTATGGCTAGCTTGGATATAATTTCATTCTTTACCAATATTCTTGTTCTACGAAATATAGATATCTGCATATCAAATCCTTTTAACCCTAATGCAATGGATCACGTGTCAAAGGCCATATCATAGAGTTTGTTGACTTGCATTCAAAATTTTATTTAACTACTATTTTATGAAATTAAGTCAATAAGTTTAGTATCAAACTGTAGCTTATAATTCAAATTTTAGTATTATACATTAGTTAATGTCTTAAAAGTATATATTAAAAAACATAGCTAAACATCAATTTTTGTATGTCACATGGTATGTTGAATGCAGCACTGTTTCAAATTAGATGGATGTGATGTCAAAATACAAAGTCTATAGTTTTGTATGAATCAGGAACTCAAACTACCAATATTGACAAGCTAGAATATAAAATAAGAACCTTTTATCTTTTCTATTTGCTGAGATATATCTTATGTACTGAATCGAACACAGTGACCCCCACTCACCTTTTTCCATTTTTGGAAATGCTCCCCTATATACACTTACTTCAATAC